TTCAAAATTTGTTTTCCTATTTTTCTCCTCTAAAACCTAGGTGCATTTTATGGTCTGAAAAAAATGGTATTCTTCCATCATTAAGCACATCTATTGTTAGATCCAGCTTTTCAAATACGCTGCTTATTGGACTGAGAAAGTTGTTTTCAATTTCTAATTTGCTGAGATATTTTACCATGAATGGGTTTTGTTTTCCAAATACTTTTTATGCATTATGAAAATGTTTAGGTGATGTCTCTCTTATTTTATTAATTAAAAAATATATTTTATTATGCTATTATAGTTGTCCCATTTCCTCCTCTTTATTCCCCTCCACCCTGTACACCCCCTCCCACCCACATTCCACCCTCCCCCCCACCCTGTTTAGTTCATGTCCTTGAGTCGTACATATAAGTTCTTTGGCTTTTCCATTTCCTGTACTATTCTTAACTTCCCCCAGTCGATTTTCTACCTACCATTACTGCTACTTATTATCTGTACCTTCTCCCCCTTTCTCTTCCTCCCCCTCCCCTGCTGATAACCCTCCATGTGATCTCCATTTCTGTGATTCTGTTCCTGTTCTAGTTGTTTGCTTAGTTTGTTTTTGTTTGTTTTTTAGGTTCAGTTGTTGATAATTAAGAGTTCATTTTCATTTTACTGTTTGTATTTTTTATCTTCTTTTTCTTCGATAAGTCCCTTTAACATTTCCTACAATACGGGCTCGGTGAGGATGAATTCCTTTAACTTGACCTTATCTTAGAAGCACTTTATCTGCCCTTCCATTCAAAATGAAAGCTTTGCTGATAGAGTAATCTTGGATGCAGGTCCTTATCTTTCATGCCTTTGAATACTTCTTTCCAGCCCCTTCTTGTCAGTAAGGTTTGTTTTGTTTTTTTAATCAGCTGATAGTCTTATGGGAACTGCTTTGTAGGGAACTCTCTCCTTTTACTGCTTTTTAGACACTCTCCTTACCTTTAATCTTGGGTAATGTAATTATGATGGACCTTGGTGTATGTTTCCTTGGGTACAACTTCTTTGGGACTCTCTGAGCTTCCTGGACTTCCTAGAAGTCTATTTCCTTTCCCGGATTGGGGAAGTTCTCCTCCATTATGTTTTCAAATAAGTTTTTGATTTCTTGCTCTTCTTCTCCTTCTGGCACCCCTATGATTTGGATGTTGGAACATTTAAAGATGTCCTGGAGGTTCCTAAGCCTCTCCTCATTTTTTTTGAATTCTTGTTTCTTCATTCTTTTCTGGTTGAATGTTTCTTTCTTTCTTCTGGTCCACAGTGTTGATTTGGGTCCCGGTTTCCTTCCCATCACTGTTGGTTCCCTGTACATTTTCCTTTATTTCACTTCTCTTAGCCTTCATTTCCCCCTCTATTTTGCAAAATTCTCAACCAATTTTGTGAACATTCTAATTACCAATGTTTTGAACTATGCATCTGTTAGATTGGCTATCTCTTCATCAATTAGTTGTATTTTTTCTGGAGTTTTGATCTGTTTCTTCATTGGGGCATTTTTTTTTCTCTCCAGGCACCTGTTGTGTAGTGAGGGGTGAAGCCTTAGGTATTCACCAGGGTAAGGCAACCCATATCGCTGCATTGTGATGCTGTATGTAGGGGAGGGATCCGAGATGGAACAGTGGCGCTTGTTCAACTCTCTGCCAGCTTTCAGTCACTTTCTCCACTACCCACAAGCAAATTGGGCCCTTCTGGTGCTGATTCCCATGCGGGTGGGTTTCTGTACGTTCTAGAACCCTGTGGGTCTCTCCAACGAACTCTGCTGTTAGGCTGAGGGTTTCTTCCACTGCCTCAGCCCTCAGGGGTTTTTTTTAGTGAGAGGTTTGAGGCTTTATTTTCCCATGCTGGAACCCTGGGTTTGGCGTCTGTCTCGCTCTCCAGTTGTTCCTCCCACTTTATCTGTATGCTAATGTGGGACCACCTCCTCCGCCAGTCACGCCTTGTTCTGTCCTCCAGCCACTACCTTGACACAAGTCCTTTCCACCCTGGCTGCCCATCCCTGCCCTTCCTAGTGGTCTGGATGAATGTTTCTTCTTTAACTCCTTGGTTGTCAGACTCCCATACAGTTCGATTTTCTGGCAGTTTTGGGGATTTTTTTTTTTTTAAATTTGTCATTGTCCTTCTTTTGGTTGTGTGAGGAGGCACAGTGTGTCTACCTATGCCTCCATCTTGGCCGGCAGTCTCTTATTTTATTAATTTTATAAGTTACATTGATTTTTAGATGTCAATTCAACTTTGCATTCCAGGAATAAATCCCACATGGTCATGCTGTATTTGACTTGTTAATGCTTTTTTGAGAATTTTTTCATCTGTATTCATAAAAGGTCAATAATTTTTTTGCCATGTCTTTGTCAGATTTTTATATAAGTTATACTGATCTGAAAATGAGATGGATGCTTTAACTTCCGTTTTGTAAAAGAGTTTGTATATGTCAGTATTATTTTTGTCCATAAACATTTAGCAGAATTCACCCATGAAATCATTTGTTTTTGGAGCATTCTTTGTGGAAGATTTTTAAATTTGGTACTCAATTGACTTAATACATATAGGGCTCTTCAAATTTTTCATTTTCTGGTTTAGTTTTATAGTTGATTTTTTTTCAAGAAACTTATCTGTTTCAATTGCTATTAAATTTATTGACATGAAGTTTTTTCTAATATATTCTCAGTATCCTTTTCATGTTTGTGGGATCTATAAAGATAATCTCCCTCATTTCTGAAATTGGTAACTGTTGTTTTCTCCCTCTTTTTCTTATTAGGGACTTATCAATTTTATTAATCTTTTCAATTAACAAAATTTAAGATTTAAAATTCCTGGGTTTTGTTTGTTTTCCATCTCTGTGGTTGATTTCTGCTTTCTTAGTGCAAAACCTTTATACTGAAAACTACTAAACAGAAAAAATAAGACAAATTCAATGCAGTCAATTGATTAAAATGCCTTTATTCATTTTCTTTTTATATATTTAATTCATTTTTTCCTAGCTTCCTCCGGTGAAAATTTAAATAATTGGTTTACATTTTTTTTGATAACATAAGCATCTACAGCTTTCAATGTCTCCCTCCAAATACTGCTTTAGCTGCATCCTACATACAAATTTGACATATTTTTAGTCACCATTCTGTTGAAAATATTTTCTAACATTTCCTTGTCATTTCTTCTTTGATTCAAAAATTATTTAGAAAATTCATATATCTGGACTGTTTCCTTTTCTACTAATATCTGGACCCCCTTTTAAAGTCCCCTTTGCCTCCACTATCTCAATCCTGCTTGGTTTGGGTTCTGTGTCCCACAGTTTCTCTTCTCTGGAGGGCTGTGCCTTGGAAGGGAGCTCCTGTGTGTTAGTTTGGGGACTTCTCAGGGCTAAGCGGACCCAGCACCATCAAACACCATTGCCATGTTCTAGGGTGCACACCTGAACCGGATCCTGTGGGACACCTTTCCAGTTTCAGCCGCTCTTCTCAGATTGACCTGCTGTTCTCCCCGGCAAGTTAGGGGCTGTCGGAAGCCCAGTTGCCTTGCCTCTGTTTTACCCCATCCAGTTCCTTATTCCACATGGGTCTTGAAACTTTGGATAGTTTGTCCTCAGCCACCTGTGCTTGGGGTTTACGGGGACACCGTGCCATGTAGTTTTATGGTAGATGTTGTCTGTGAGTGTTTGATTTTTTGGTTCATCTGAGAGATTTAGGGCAATCATAAATTATGGCTCCTCCTCCATCTACTGACGATTCTCACTCTCTAACTGGCTTCTGAACAGCAACTAGATTACATATTTTTTTTGTACCACCATGCCATTTGCCACAGTGCTGGGCACAAAGATCGCCTGATACGTGCTGACAGATGCAAGTTTATGTATTAGCTTTCTCTTGAATAGATATCAAATTACGGTAAGCTTAGTGGCTTAGAAACACACATATTCTAATCTCAGAAGTTTGTGTATAGTTTAACTGGGTTCTCTTTTATGGGGTCTTCACCACACCGCAACCCAGGTGTTACCCAGGGCTGCAAGCTCAGAAGAGGCTTGACTGGGAAAAGATCCACTTCTTAACTCCCTCACATTATTGGCAGAATTCACTTGTAGGACTGAGGTCCCCTTTCCTTGCTGGGTGTCAGGCGGGGATTGCTCTCAGCTCCTAGAGGCTGCCCTATGTACCTTGACACATGACCCTCCCCATGGGCCCTGTCACATCCCGGCAGCTTGCAAAGCCAGCGATAGAGAGCTGGGCTTTAACAAGATTAGCCCAATTTATATCATAAATGATCACAGGAGTAACGTTGCATCGGCTTTGTCATACGCTGTTGGTTAGAAGCAAGTAGCACGTTTCTCCCACACTCCAGGGGGGGAAGGTTACGCAGGACATGAACATGCCACAGGGGGGTCTGCTTATCAGTACCATGGTTTATGTTTGTCTTGGAACCTGATTAACCCCCCCCCTTTATTTAAGGTGAAGGTGTTATCTTGATAAACTGTCCATGGTAACTTTTAGCTCAATACCAGGACAAATGGTACTGAATTCAAATGTAATCATGAAATATCCAGTTTAAATAGAAAAACATGACATCAGGAACTTGAAAATCCTACTACAAGTTGTTTTCAGTGCTCCGATTCCCTTCTTTTCTCTATGAAGTGGACACAGGTACCTCTACCACTCCCAAACTCACAAACTATGAAATGATGCCTTTCAGTGTCCTTAGGACAAATAAGGCTTCATATACATCTAATGCATTTTAACTTATTTTGTGTCACCTGTGTTTGTGCGTATTTTTGGAGTACTTCAAAGAGTATTCATGTTCAAGAATGACATAGTGCCAAAGCAATCATTATTGTTAAACTCCAATGTATCAGATAAGCCAAGAACAGTTTGAGGGAGAAGGAAAAGATGTGTGTATTTTAGAAACCATATTTTCTGGTGCAAATAATGAAGGAAATAATCTTATTTCCCATGTCAGTCCATTGTAAAATTTTAATGAATAACTTCATTGTTTGAATACAGGGTGGCATAGTTTATTATTTCTGCTTTTGTTCTAATGTGGGGAGTATCCATCTCTTTCATTTCTGCCTCCTCACGGGCTGGCTCCCTGCCTTTTATCTTCTCGATCTCGTTATTTTTCCACTGAGCATGAAAGGGATAGGAAGAGTGCTTCTCTTTGATGATGATTCCTGATCATTTTTTTACTAATGATGCTCTGTACTGCTGGAAGCATTCAGTACGGGGGTGAGGGATCCTTCTCATCTGCGACACTGTCGGTGAAACACTAAACAGTTTCCCTCCTTTGATGGATGGCACTTGGAGGCTGTTTGCAATGGCGAAGCTGTTTCCTCCTGGCAACACGGAGGAAGTGGGGATGGGGGACTCAGGAACACAACATGAAATCTATAGGTACAAATTGTGCAGAACACTCTGCCCTATGAATTCCTGATTCCCTTCCTTGTGAGAAAAGAAACAATAATAATCAGAGTCAGCATTTATTGAGAGATTAATACCAGGAGTGATATACAAAATACTTAACAACCAAAACAACATTCGTATTAACCAGTCAGAATAAACAGTGGTGATAACAGCATCCGCCCTGATATGTCCCTGCCCTCCTCATTCCTGTTGTTAAATATTTTGAGTGTGAGGCTGTTTGGGTGTGAGGACTGCCAATGTGTGCCAAACACCTCAAGAACCTTTGCTCATCGAAACCTCCCTGCCACCCTGCAAAATGGATACTCTCATTATTCCAACTCGACATCCATATGGGGAAACTGAGGCTTAAAGAGTTGAGCGACTTGCCCCCATATCAGGCAGCTAAGATGAAGTGGGATTGGATTCCTGCCCAGGTCTTCTGACTGCAGAGTCTGAGCCATTAAGTTCTGCATCCTAATAACTCTGGAGAAAGCCACACCCTATGACTCTTTCTGTCCTTATGAGAAATCCACACTTTAGGCACACAAAGGCTGAACTTTATCACCCTGTCCTTAGTGACCAGGAAAGGAGTCCTTGGCCAGTCATTAAGAAAAGCAATGTAAATAGCTTGGTAAAAATGACAGAATGACAAATAAGCCCTGGGGTGAGGCCTACACTCCAGAAATCATTCTGGAGTTGATTCAAGGTCTTGGGAAGACCAGGGAAACCCAAAGTCCAGACTGGCCCTCCAGCCCAAAGGGATATTTTTTAGACAACTGTCACCGACCCTAACTCCACATTCCTCAAGCCCAGGACTTTTCGATCTTTTTTTTAATATCGCACCAACTAGTTACTAAAATTCTGTGGCACACCAAAAAAATTCTACTTTTTGTCAGTCTGACAAAAAAAAAAATAGGTACAATTTTGATTCATTTACACCAGACAGCTATGGTTGTGTTGGCTATTGTCAGTTTTTTTTATTTGACAATCTGAGGGAAAAGAGGTCTGCCCCTACCCTGGCTGGATGGCTCGGTTGGTTGGAGTATTGTCCAAAAGGTTGTGGGTTCAATCCTCAGTCTGGGCACGTTAGGGAGGCACCCAATCAATATTTCTCTCTTACGATGATGTTTCTTTCAATCTCTCTCTTTCTTGCTTTTTCTCTCTTTCTCCTTCTCTCCTTGTTTTCTCTCTAAAATCAATAAATACATCCTCTGGTAAAGATTTTTCAAAAAGAGGTCAGTGCCCCTGACTAAATACCCAGGTATTTCGAGTTTTAAAAATTCTTGTGTCACACTGGTTGGAAATCCCTGCTCTAGTCATTGAGAGAATTTCTGTCTGGTGTGGCTTTGATGCTGGATTTATTTGAAACAAAGCAAACAGCTGGATTCCAGAGACAGGCTGTGGTGATTTTATGTCACTGTCTTCGCTGACTGTGTGCCTGATTGGGTGAAGTTTTTTTGTCCCTCAGCCAGAAGTGATGCCACATCACTGCCTGTGAGCCGTTCTCGACAGTGACACATCACCATTTCAAAAACCTTGTTTTTCAGCTGTGACCCAGAGGCCTGATAAAACCCACAAGTCCAACACACTGCCACGAGCTATCTTTGTGTTGTGTGTCACTCCCAGATGTCACCCTCGTCCCTTCCTCTCCCACTCAAGAATGGGTGTGGAAACACAAAGGGGGAGGGAAATGTTACTAGAGGTATCCGCTGGGATGGACAACTTTCTCAACCAACCGAAGCCTCCGTTTCCACATGTATAATGTGTAATTGAAATACAGATGCTTTGGGGTGAGGTGGGCTCAGGACATGGAAGAAGGCATGATTGGTCAGAGCAAGTCTCTATCTTGACCTCTCCACAATCCTCCCATACACAGACTACATCAGATTCCCGAGTTTGCCAAGAATCCGTGACTAACAATAAAACAGCAATATTCATGCTACCATTCTCCTTGCTATTACTGCATTCTCATTACTATTACATTCTTGTTACTATTCTCAACAACAATGATTCTAATAACAGTTGCTCTGTATTGAACATTTGTTTACCACACACCAGCAAAGCACAAAATGAGACAGATGTCATATTGTATTCATTGCTCCATCTATGAAATTAGACCCTGTGGGGGTATGTTTTGCCATCACTCTGATGTAAAGAAATAGGCCAAGGGGCCGTGGAATAGAAGAGCCAGGTCTAGGTGGTCCATGGAGAGACCCAGCGTGCTCCAGCCTCCGCCGGATCACGTGCTGCTGGCCCCAGGAAGCTGGTGGACTCCTGGTGCCCTGGAGCCTGCAGCTCCCATTCCAGTAACAAGTGTTGCCTGTGCTGAGGGCCTGCACCAGGCGTCCTGGCTCTTGGTGTCCAGGGAAGATAGCCCAACCTCACCAGCCAGGCATGCTAGTGTCTAACAATCTCCCAGCAGAAGGGACGTCTCTCTGGCCTCAACATTCACAGAACTCGTGTGACATATTCCACATGACCCGTATCAGTCAGAAGCTCTCCTCTTTGTGGTGGGTTGGGGACACCGGGAAAACTAGGAGAAGTATAGAGCTCTTCTCGCAGAGCTTGTGCACCCATCCACCTTGGAGTCAGGGCGGTGGTAAAATATAGCCACACTCACTCTTAGAGTTGTTTCAAGGAACAAATGAACTATAAGGTACACTCCATTGAGCACAGTCCCTGAGATGTCAAAAACGCTCAGTAAATAACCATTGCTATTATTAGTAAACACAATAACATAATAGGTGGTATGCAAGCATTGGTAGTATATTATAAGTAATATACTGCTAACGCTCCTTACACATGGTTGTGACAAAGAGCGTGTTGCTGTGCTCTGAGAAGCCTTGCTCCAGAGAGCAGAGGCAAGGTAACTTCCATGACCTTGAGAGGACTTTCTGTCCTGGGCTGTGCCTGGTCTTGGACAGCATTCCTGGGTGCTGTCTCAGAGGAGACACTCCTGGTTCTAGCAGCAGCCAGCCGGGGAGACACTGATAAACTGGTCGCAGCTGTGCAGATAGGAGGGCGGGGGAAAGCAGCCAAACAGCCCTATGCGAACATCCAACGTTAAGTCTCCTCGGCACCCAGCCAGGATATCGACAGTGCCCTGTCAGTGCGAAATGTTCTTGCCTCCAAGGTCGTCCCAGGCCAGACAGAACTCTTCGAATCACTGGTAGCTCATGGTTCTTTGTTTTGTTTTGTTTTGTTTTGTTTTGTTTTGTTTTGTTTTGTTTTGTTTTGTTTTGAGTGTGTCCTCTTTGCACTGCATAGCCATTCTATGTCGCCCTCCAGACTTACATTAAATCCTGCAGAGGCTAGTTCATTCGCCCATCTTTTCCCTCTAGGATTTCCCCACCCTAAGTGTACAGACGTTGGGTCCTAGGGCTGGAAGAAACCAGGAAATCCGCCAGCCTGGGGCCAGCAGAACCCTCCACTCGGAGGGGGATGCCCTAGGTTGGCCCTGCCTGGTGTGGGGGCCACTAGATGGGTGGCTATAGAGCCCTGGAAAGGTGGTTAGTGTCCCTGAAAACTGAATTTTTTATTTCATCCCATTTTAATTCATTTAAATGTTAATAGCCACATATGCGAGTGCCATGTATTAGATAGTGACAATCTGGTCCAGTCCCTTCATTTCACCGGCGAGTCCCAGAGACCCCAGGGACCTGCGCGGGCTCGCACAGCGGGTGCGAAGCACAGAAAACACTGGTTGCCGTGGAAGTCCATTCAGGGAGCTAGAACTTAACCCGGGCGTCGCTGAACAACTGCCGGTTACTCTTCACACTTCTGGAGGCTGGCAGGGTCAGGGTGCTACATGGTGGAGTTCTGGCGCAGGGCCCCTTCCCGGTTCACAGATGGCTGTCTTTTCACTGTAACTTCACCTGGCAGAAGTGGGAGGAAGCTCTCTGAGTTCCTCTTATAAGGGCGCTAATCCCGTTCAAGAGGGCTCTGTGGTAGTGACCTAATCGCTTCCGAAACGCCTCACCTCCAGGTGCCATCACACGGGCACTGAGTTTCAGGTTATGAATTTAGGGAGGAGGCCACGCACATTCATCCCGCAGCAATAACCAACCCAGTGGTCTTTGTAACACATCACGTTCGCACGGGTTCGTCTTCGGGCAGGAACGGCTTTCCACGCACTTGGGTTATCTGGAGGGTGGGCGGGTAGGGAGGTGGACAGAGGTAAGCTGCTTTTGTTTTCTTGGTACAGCAAGTACAAAAGCGCCCTGAGGAGACAGGAAGGATGTGAAACACCCGGTCTGCAATGCTGAGAAGAAAAGAGGGGAGTTAAGAAATGGCCGTTGAAGGGCAGGGTGATGACATGGGGTTTCTGATTTATTCGTTTATAATAAAACACTGACAATCCACCGTTATGTACCTGTAGAATGAATCCACGTAGTGAAAAGTCAGTTAAATCCTGTTAAGGACCCACCGTGCAGAAGACCCACTGTTAAGTACTATGAGGGCTCAAAAAAAGCACAGAAGAGAACCCCTCTCTTCAGAGAATGGGTCATCTAGTTGCGAAAACAAGACCTTGCAGGAGAGGAAAGATAATTTTCCCTCTATCATCTTGAGTTCTTAGCTGAGACCTCTGTAATTAAAAAAAAAAAGTTAACAAGAGAAGAACAAACAGCAGTTTATATATACACAGGGAGATAAACTGGAAAACTGATTAACTCTCCCTGGTGGCTTAATTAGAATTCAGATTAAATACCATCTTAAGAGGGGAAGAGGAGGAGGATGTAGACCTCCTAAGTGGGGAGTAAATGATCTTTAGAAAAGATGAAGGGCCGTCAGAAGATTAGATGGGAGATGATGAGTTTGTGACCAAGTTCGTCTGGGGTGGCGGCATCTAGTTCTCATCTCCTATCCCTAGCTCGTGAAACTTCCAGGAAAGGGACTTAGGACGATTGCAGTCCTCCGGGAGACTCTCTTTAAGCAGACACAGGGAAGCCAAGAAAGCCTCTTTCTGCATTTGCTGTTTTTCAAGTGCCTACCACTCAAAATAATCAATATGCCAAAGTAGCATGTCTTGGGGTGCCATATGCTGTTCACCTTCATCACCGAAGCAGGAAAAAGTAAAAAATAGTGCCAGTTCTAAATGCTTGCTAACGTCATTACAGAGAGCAGCACTGGTGCAGGTCTGAGAGATGATGGCTCCCTGCTCCTGAGAATGTACTCCCCTTTGTACCTATTTCATAAGTGCCTTTTATTTCCATTAAGGGACATTAGCGGTGTCTAGTCTTTACCTATAATATGCTGACGGGAGCCTAACAGCCCATGGCCAGAACAAGCGCGCAGGGTTGAAGACACTGTGGTCTTCACAGTCAGAGTTTTCAGAGGCTCTGTAACCCTTCACAAATAACTTTCCCTTGGTCCTGTGTTGTCCCACCTGTCAAAGGGGAGAGAGAGAATAACTTCAGCTGGACAGGTTGTCATCAGGGTTTCCCTGCCCACTCATGGATTCACGCACACCCCACCTCACTTCTACATGCAAGCCGTGAGTGCTTCTGGACTAGAGGGGTCCACTCACCTGCGTGCACCAAGGCCAGGTGAAATGTGAAGAGGAGTTTGCAGCAAAGAAAGCAGAGGTCTGTTAGTCGAGGAAATAGAGCCAAGCTTGGAGTCACTGGTATGCTAATGCTCAAAGACCTGGCTCCCAGTGGCCTCTGGAAGATGGATTGTATAGGGGGAAAGTCGTTAGTCACGGCGGCAGAAGGGGTTGGGGTTTGGGCTCTACGGGTCGTTTGGGGCCAGGTCCTGATGCCAGCCACGGCATTGCTCTGTCTGGTTCTGTTCGGTTTTAGTCCTGGGGTCCGTCCCTTCCGCCTTCATGGGCCTGGGCTAAAACAGGACTCCAGTCAAGATGTTGTCTTTAGTTCGACTGCACCTTTGTTTCTGTGGTCATCCTAACTGAGGCTTTGTTCTTAAGGCGATTTGATACCGAGCAGAATCTAATCTCCTAAGGGCTTAATGACTCAGGAAGGAAGTGGATGGACAGAAAGGAGAAAGGGTCCTGGTAAAGAAATGGAGTTTCTGCACCATTATATGAGCTCCACCACTATCTGAGGCTGGCTACTCCTCCCCCATGCTATCAACTTTCTGTAATTCCTTCTGTATAGAATTCTTGCTCTGGTATGGGGTCCTGGCTTGTCTCTTTGCCAGCTAAAGCATGGCTTACGTCTCTGGCTTTTCCTTCCTTAATGAAGAAAAGGGTTAGGGTTTGGAGAGGATGAACTCATAAAATGAGTGTCCATGACCCAGTGCTAGGCACAAAGTAAGCATTTAACAAGAAGAATCATAGGTGAAATAGCAGTTTACAGGGTAGATGGAAAGGGGGCTTTGTCCTAAATCTGACCGAAAGTAACCTCTTGGGACGATCTGAGCAGAAAATTCCTAACCAGGCAGGTCATAGTGGGTAGTCACACCCAGGCTTATGAGAAGGTTTATCTTTGTCTGAAGCAACCCCTGTCATTGTTCTTGTAGGTCTGAATTAACACCCCTTTGAAATGCCACAGTAATTCCCTTTTTCAGATTCCTCGAAGGTATAGCTGTCTCCAGGGAGCAAACTAACCTGTAACCCAAACACAGATTTCCCCGCCTGGCTTTCTCACACCTTCATGGAATCTTCGTGTATCCCTCCTGTGGTTACTTCCAAGTGTATAAAAGAAACTGCAAACCTGTCGCTCTCCGGAGCATTTTCTCTCCAGAGTGATTTTTGCTTCCGGTGGTCCTCTGTTCAATGAACTAATGAACTGATGAACTCAAATGAACTAATGAACTAATAAAGTCTTATAAAAATGAACTCACAGTTCTATAAAAAATTCTTTTCAGAGATTTGGATGTTCTCATGTTGACCACATTTATTAAGATCCTATTATGTGCCAGGAATTGTTCTAAGTAATTTGTACGTCTTATTTAAAAGTTCACTGTGACCCCAGCTGGTATGTCTCAGTGGATTGAGCACTGACCTGTGAACTGAAAGGTCAGCAGTTCAATTCCCAGTCAGGGCACACACCTGGGTTGTGGTCCAGATCTCCAGTTGGGGGCATGTGAGAGGCAAACAACCTATGTTTCTCTCACACATTGATGTTTCTCTCCCTCTCTTTCTTCCTTCTCCCTCTCTCTAAAAATAAGTAATTTTTTAAAGAAAGTTCTCTGGGAAAAGGTTCAAGTGCAAGTGATTTTATAGAGGCCATGTTCCTTAACCCATCAGGGAGTAGGCCAAGCAGGCCCAAAAAAGCGACCGGTGCAATTTCAGGCAAAATCCCACAGAGGGTGGCCTCTGCTTGGTCTTCCGGGGGAGCTCCGGGCGTACGTTTCACCCCAGGACTTGGTGGCTGAGCTTTCTTTCACTTTCAGGCCCTTGACCTATGTTGGCTAAGGACCAGGGTAACATAAGCACCCAGGCCCTTCCAGCTCTCTGCCCCCACAGGCCAGCAGCTGCAGTAGGTAAAAGGCCGCCAAAGAAAGTTGTAGGTCTTCATGGGCAGGTGGAAGCAAAACCACAGAGAAGCCAGGAAAGGGGTACCCAGGAAATGTTAAAGGGGTGCTGGGAGATGTGGCCAGAACACTAACACTGTCTCCTGCAATGAACGCCTTTTAACGACAATACCCATTTAACAAATGAAGCACAGGAAGTTAAATACTTTGCTCTGGTTACACAGCTAGCAAGTGTAAAATGAGGATTCAAATCTAGGCAGCCCATTTCCCAAGGCTGTGCCCTTCAGCATGGCACAGTACCGACCAGCTCTCCTAATCACACAAGTTATGCTTTTCAGACATAATACCTGCCCATCGGTCTGTGTGGGGGACATCTGGAAACATGCTAAAACCAACCAAATTGTCCCTTCTCATAGGAGGTCCTTTGTCATCCTAACTTTTCTCAGTTTCCATCACCATAATGTAATCAGGAATTTGTTCATGCCCATCAGCTCTTGATTCCTGCAATTTTCTCTTAATGGCACTCCGGGTCCTGCTGCTGATTACGGTGCCTTTCACGACCCTGCAGTGGATGTGGGGTTTAGGTTCCAGGGGCAGGCTCCCGAGACCCCAGCTTTCCATTTGAAACAAATCTCATTTTATTTCAACATTTCAAGAAATGTTGTTCTCCTTTCAACATGTTAAATTACTTTTTCCTGGAAAGAGTTTGGCCACAATTATTATTTTTTTTTCCTATAAAAATCACATCTAAGTATTTCCTGCTGGTTTAAGTGACTATAGAAAGTACGGACTTTACAACGTGCTTTGGCGTTTGGCAGCAGCCAAGGTTCACGTGACGTTTGAGTTCATAGCCTCTGGCCCTTGGGGTGAAAAAACTAGACTATGAACTTCCAAGGCATGATTGATGGGATGACGATTAAACTTCATTTAATATATTGATAAAGCATTCCAGATGAAAAAATGCATTGCTTCTTACAGGTGATTGATGACTCTTTATAATCAGAAAGACAATAATAAATATGCTGAAGCGATGACGTTGGTAATTGCGATCTAGAGCAGAGTTTCCCAACCTTGGCACAGCTGACAGTTTAGGTCAGATCACTCTTTGCTGTGGGCTGCCCTGTGCACTGGAGGATGTTTAGCAGCACTGCTGGTCTTGAGCTGGCTGGATACCAGTTCAAGTACTCATCCTCACGTGCTGAGATAGCCCGAAATATCTCCAGACCTTGCCACTTGTCCTCTGGGAAGCAAAATAGTCCCTGGGTGAGAATCATTGTTGGAAAGGACGGTAACAAGAAAACAGCCCATGGTGTCCCCTCTGGGTTCACACCCATCAACGGCTCTGACAAGCCCTTCTTGGTTTCCATTTTACGGGTATTTCTGAGATCGACCAGTTTCAGTTCCTTGTGTTTTGTAGACATCCACACCATTTCCATTTCTCCAGCGTTGGTACAATGACTGCGTTTCCAAACCTGGGGGGTCCCCATTGCCTCTGTATCTCGAGCCTGAGCCTTACTTTTTTGCAAACGTTAGATATGAGAAGAAAGCACTGAAAATAGGTAGAAAAGAGGCTGCTCGTGACACATCTGCACATTTTTAGCACTTCCCTTTAGTAACTTTGTTTCAATCTCATGATGTGTAAATAATGTTTCCCACGAAGTAAGGGGAATTTAGAGTGATATTTTGATGTGTCCAAGAGAATTAATGATGGGGAAAGAATGTGGGTTTTCTGAGATCTAGTAATGAGACTTTTTCATTTTTTAAAATATGATAATTCTACTCAAAGTTTTAAGGCTCTGCTCAAAATATTTATAGGCACAGCCACAAACACCTGGCCAAGTATAGCAAACAAATTTCACCCATCACACCTCCATCATGGGTTGTCTCTTTACACAGTCTTTTCCCACCAGCTCACTGGAGCTGAACTTTACAAAACAGGCCAACCAACCAGAACCGAATCTATCATGTTGCCAAGAACCCAAGCAAGGTTTCTGAGGAAAATGCACTTTTCAGGTTCGAAGCTGGTGCCCAGTACTTGCCACCACCCATAAACGGTCAAATTTAAAGACTGTGACCATTTAGATGGTAGCTTGAATTGGCCCAGTGAATCTATTCAAAACTCTGGTATCCAACTCTGCTCCAAATCGCTGTTGGCCTAAGGCCGCTCCATCCTTCATGATCTAAAGCCTTACATGAAGATCTTTGGACCTCTTTGAGTGTCCATACCATTATGCTTTTCTTTTTAGTGTTTTTCTTTATACTGTAGTCATTTGGGATCTCTCTGTTTTTGTCATTCTTAAACTTGATTCTTAAGGATGGAGGTCCTTACATATAAGATCTGTCTCTGTACAGAGTAGGGACCCAACAAATACTTGAACAATTGAATTTAATCTTGGTGGAATCACCCTAGGTCTTGCTATGTCACCTAATGAATCTTGGCTGAAGATTCAAGGAGGGAGGGAGGGAGAAATGCTGTTTTTTAAAAAAAACTTGAATATGTTTAAATATCAGAATGCTTTAGGAAGTACAAAGTACTCCATTGAAATCACAATCAAATTGTAATGACATGGGGCCATATTGCCTCATCTAAAGGTAAAGGTCATTATTAATGAGAACTAAACAGACACTTCTATTCTCACCCCATGGTTGTAAAACATATAGAGAAAGGAAACTCTTTCCTCAGGGAACAGATAAAGCTCGTTTTTTTCCCCTAATGGGCCTCACTTGCTTTCGATTGCCTTGAGTTTTTCTATGGCTTTAGGACTGTAAATGTCAAGAAATAATAAAGTGCTGCCTTGTCCATTTGGAAGCACCATGACTTCTCAGGTATGTGAGTCTCTGTATATTCTCCCCTCAGTGCGGGAACTTCAGTCAGGTGATAGTAGTTCCTCTGAATATAACATCCATCTGCCCGGATCTGGGTTTTCTATTACCGAACAGATTCTGCAG